TTATAACTTGTTTGTTCTTCACTGCCATCTTCAGAAAGATGCACTAAGGGTCTAGTTCTGTATTAGGTAAAAATTTCTGTTAACATGCCCATGTTTTTCTGCTGCTTAGTCAATTATGTTCAGTTGTGTTCTGTGGTGATAACTTGTCTTGGAAATGTACATGAAACACAGAATATTCACCTTTCAGACAGAAGCTTCAATGTTTTCCCTTAGCAGAATACCTACCTACCTGCCTGCCTTCTGCCAGGTGATAGACTTTTTCTTGCATGAGCATGAAACTTATTCAAAATACATGTGGATATTGTAAATATTGTAAAAATGTCATCCTTCCAGTGATTCCGGCGAGATGGTTGTCAAATGGTGCAGTAGTTGAAGCAAAATCACATGTGGAAAATTGTGTTAAAGTTGCTCAGTCCTCATCAGATCCCAGTATTTCTCAGGTAAAGCAGAGTCATATACCTTTCAAGTGTTTAAATGAAGGCATGATTTGGGAAGAAGGTGATATTTAAAACAAATCTGCGTGGAAGAAACTCTCTGTAAATAAGAGTGCACAGTTCTCTGTAAATTCTGCTTTGTAAGGCCCGGGATGGGGTATGGATCTCTAATCCACTTTGTTTGGCCAGATCAGTTTAACATGGCTTCCTGTGCATTTTCACTCCACTTGTCAGAGATAACTAGGCATCTCTTGCTAATTGCTATGGACTCTCTAAATTGCAGAGTATATTTTATTTTGGAAGGGAAGAAGTTTATCCTGAACTATGCTTTGGTTACAGATCAATAGTCTGCTTTAAATTCCTATTAACAACACGCAACCTGGTACATCTGATTTTGATTTGTTTGTGGTGTTGAACATTTTTTTTAAATCTGTAGTTAAATGCAGAAGAGGGACAGTGAAGAAATTTGAGTCTGAAATTCAAATTTTCTCAGCTCAGCACTTCCGTGGGAAGTGTTTTGCATGTTTTACCTATGTGTGTTTGCTTAGAACTGTTACCTAAAGGCAAAAAGTTGTGTGCAATCACAAACTGAGGTTACAGGTGTACAGGCTGGTTGTATGTGCATATGCATTGCAACCAAGTGGTTAAAATCCCAGGGAATGCTGGGAACTTACTGAACTGATGAAAATGTATTTTAATATTATTTTTAAATGTATCTTAAAGACAAATTGCTGAGCTAAGGTTGATGCCTTTTTAATACAATTGGCAAAGAACTGACAGAGATAGATGATTTAATCGAGACACTGGTGAAACATTTGCAATGGTTTATGACTGAGATGTCACAGTAGTCACATCAGCATTTCATAAAGTATGTTCACGATGCCCTGGGTATTAACTTGTGTTTAAAACCAAAAGTTATACCTTTTAAATATTATCAGTAAGAGTGTGTAAAAATATGCTTGTTAAAAGTGTCTCATCCACATAAGAACAGTATAAATTACTGCTAAATATTGCTAAATTACTTTCAGCTGTTGGAATTTTTGTCATTTATTCCCTCTTCATGTAGAAAAAGAGAGAAGCCCATTGCCTGTCTGATGATGAGTTGAGCTCTTCCACAAGCTCTACAGACAAGTCTGATGGTGATTCCAAGGAGAGGTAAGTATTTTAATACTGTTCAAGAGTTTTCACTGCTATATTAGACCTTGACTTGGACTGGAAAAAAAGTGGCTTTCATACTTTGTCTCCACATAGTGATTGAAGAAGTATGTGGTGCATTAAGGAAAATAATTCCATTTAATTATTGTTTTTCTGTGACTGTCTTTCTGTTCCATGCTGAACTTTCTGGCTTGTAATTTTGTGCCTCTGTTTTTGTCAGCTGTAGCTTCCCAGAAAACCAGTCTTCTAGCATCAAGGGACAAGTACTGTCAGGATGCATTAAAAGCTTTAATCAAAAGGTGCCAATGTGCTTCCTTTCCACTGTGAATGAGGCTGAATTTATTTCTGATTTTGTCAGTGTAAGCAGCTTTACAAAAGCTGCAATTTGTTGCATTACTGGAGGTGCAGTAGAGAGTTGGCAGCAGCCAGTAGGGTTGTGGACTTTTACAGGGTGACAGGGCTCTGAGCCTTTGTTAGAAGGAATACTGCTGGTGTTGCTATTGATAAAACTGCCCCACAAGAAGTAATTTAACATGGAATACTTACTTCCAATAAGTTTAGTAATGTCCTAGTACTTGGATTGTAGGGTGGAAGTTGCATCTAAAGTGATGACTGAATTACATCTCCTAGGAAAAACAATGTGAATGAAATGAATGACTTGGTGCAGCTGATGACTTGGACGCTGAAAATGGACTCTAAGGAGAATTCTGAGTACTGTGTAACCTCAACTCCAGCCCCAGAGTTTAAACTCCATAAAAAATATCGAGATACTTTGATTTTGCATGGAAAATTGCCTGATGAATCAGAGGAATTAAACATTGAAGAGATTCCTTCAGGTCTGTTGCTCTGGAATTCTGTGGTAATAATTACTATTATCCCATATTCTTCTGCAGAGTATGAAAATTGTCTATACTGAAAGTAATTATTACTGCATTGATTTTTAATTGTATTTTATTTTTAATAGATATGTTAACAGTTCCTGACAAGATTAGGAGAATGGTTGAAATCCTGAGATCTGATGTGGTGCAAGGATTGGGAGTGAAACTTCTTGAGGAAGTGTACAGAATCATGGAAGATGACGATGAAGCGAAAAGAGAGGTGAATGTCTTTCATAGTAAAATAGTTTAATTTCTTCATAAACCTAGAGAAATGAGCAGTATCTTTACCCTATTGATACAGGGTAAACCTTGATTCCAGAAAGTCTTCATGTAGTCACGGGCAGGCATTGTAATTTTCTATCTTACCCATGCAGTATTTCATTTGTAACCTGTGAAGATCTGATTTATATTGTAAATTGTTGGGTGGGATTTGGAACTCTCTTGCCTTCAGACAACAAAGACGTTCATTTTCCTTTCCTCTCATCTACTTGCCAAGCTTCACAAGCTGCTTTCAGTTGAGTGCCTTGGTATTTTTTTGTTAATATTTTGGTAGTTCCTGCTTTTTGTGCATGTCAGTAAGTTCTGTGGGCTTTGTTTTGTGTGTTCTGAACAGCTGCAGCTGCGGGAGCACATGGGAGACAAGTACATGAGTTACAGCGCGAAGGCTCGTCACCTGAAATTTCTTGAAGAAAATGTGAAGCTCTGACCAGAATCTTTTCCTTAGAGAAAAGGACTCTTTTATAGCCCAAATGACAGACTGGACCAGCTTACAAAGCACATTTACCTGTTGATCTCCTTTGCTGGAACAAGGAGGTGAACTTGCAGAAGACCTTAGTTTGTAGTAATATTTTTCATGTTAAACTGTGAACCAGGCTATCACTTCCTCAGAAAAGAAACTGTTACGTTTAGTTTTTATTCTCTTAATGAAACTTCAAAAAGTTGCTTTTCATAGATGCACATAGGGATGGGTACCAAATTTTGTATACTAAGGAGAGTCAAAAAAAATTATGTTTTGGTTTGAATTTCTCATAGCAAAAGGTTTTTGGTATGGTCACATAAATAGAGTAACAAAATCTCTGCCAAGGCTCTGGTGTGATACTGCATCAGATAGGTGTGAAAACTTAGCAAGAGAAATAATTACTAATTTTTGTAGAACCAAAATGCTGGAAATTGCCAAGCCCAACTGCTGAAGGGGGTGGCTGTACTGCTTTTAAGGAGAGACTTTGCTTTTGTGTTTTGTTGCTGAGGCAGTCGCCAAGGGGGCGGAAAGCATTTGGTAACTGGATAAAGTAAGTCTGGAAATGTTTGAAAGGAATGCAGCCATGGTTACCATGGTCCCAGCTGGAGAAATCCCTTTGCCTTACAAATAGTAATTCCTTTTAGGAATGAAAGTGCCCAAGACCAGAATCACATACAGAAATAGATGTCTTTAACTTTTCCCTTTCTTTGCATCCCGACTGTCTTGCTACACATCCCCAGGCACTGTTGTGTACCATCCCTACAGAAAAAGCACATGTTCTTTTTAAAGGATAAAGAAGTCAAATAAATTGAATTTGTAAAATAAAATTCTAAATGAACAACCTGTCTCTCTTCCTGCCTGTAGCTGAAATATTGTGACCTCCAGCACCTGTGAGGGGGGTTACTGACATGAGTCAGTAGTAAAAAAAAATGCCATACCTATGGATCCTGTGGCCTCTCATGTACTAGATGCTCAAGTTACAATGTTTCAAGAGCTATTGTATTTTGCAGAGTCAAAAATGTTACTTTCTCTTCCCAGGGAAATTTATTTTAAACAAAAAATGCCACTCTTCAGTCTTCTATCCCAGAACAGTTTGCAGTTCTTAGTGATTTTCAGAACTGTGGGGTATGTACTGTTTCATGGTGCTTGTTACAAGCTTGTTTTACACATGGTTAGAAATATTTCAGTATAAGTCCAGGTCTGTATTATCTTTTATGCTATAACAGTAGCTTAACTGGACTTGATTTGATTCACTGTGTTCCTTTTCACTAAAATACTTGAGTGAGATGTGACCTCCAGTAGCCTTCTAAAGTTATTTAAGTTACTGCTGCTAAGAAGATATTGCAAAAGCCAGTATAACTTGTGCTGGAAACCGAAATATTAACTAGAAAAAATGTAAGTTACATAAATTACTGTACAGTGTTTAGACACACAGAATCATAATCATGATGTATTCTGCCAAAGAAGGGGTACCAGCTAATGTGGAGGGGGGGAAACATCCAGTAACTGAAAGCTACAGGGAGGACATGGAACAAATTTGTCTAAACTATCAGAGAGGCTAGATTGATACAGTTACTACCTGTGTGAGCAATCTTTTACAGGTGGCTGAGAGATGAATACAGCACAGAAGAATTTCATCAGGTATTGGCTTTACCCTTTGCCCATCCCTGTGTTCCCAGTGACTTCACTGAAGCTCCAGACCAGCTTCAGAGCCTTCACGCTCTCTGTGGGGCTTGGTGTACTCATGACAGGATACAAAGCACTAATTAAAAAACCAAACAACTCAGCCAAGAAGTATCTCCCAGTGGGAATTCATTTAACAAAATTTAACAAAGTAACAGTGTGAAGAACCGTAATCTTTAGCTTTTAGCGTGTCTCTTTGGCTTTCTGTCTGCTGCCTTCTTGTCTTCCGTGCCTGACTCCTGCACAGGCAGCCACTTGAGGGGGTTGCGGCGGTACATGGGCCACGGAGGGAGCGTCAGCTGGGAGACAAGGGATGGAGTCAGAACATGTACATTGAGATGCTAAAGAGCTGTTTTGTACAGCTTGTTAGGAAAATCTTAATCTTTATCTGTTCTATCTAAGAAAACTCACACAATTTCATGCTACAAAGGCACATATATTTACAGTTTATACTGCATGGTCATGACCCCAGGTCATTGCAAGGAGGAGGACAGCACCCACCTGAAGAAAAAGGGACTCCTGAGGTGACACCAGCATCACAGCACATCCCAACACTGCTATGAGACCCTCCCCTTGCCTGGCATCATGGATCAGTAACTCTGGCCAGAGCAACTCAGGGATGCTAAAGTAAGTAAGGAGCAGATGGATGATGATGCCAGAGAATTATAGTGGCTTTTCAAAACAGTTGTGTGTGTGTGAGTTAAGTGGTGATTGGTCAAATCCTGTTGTATCTGAACTCTTGAAAAGCAAAAGAACCACGTGTAAGACTGGATTCGGTGTGCCCCAATTGGAATGGGACACCTCGTGTGTTACAATAAGGAATTACTCCTCTAATTCCATACTCTGCCTTCTTGCCGCTCTCCTCGGGCAGCACGGGCCAGCTGCAAAATTCTTGTGACAAGGAAGCCTCACTGTCCTTTCTATTACCAATGCTGTCAGCTGGACTTAACAGTAACATTTAATTGAAGTGAAAAATGAACTCAAACCCAATACTTAATTGCAGTGTTCTCTAAAATCCTGCTAGCATTTCAGAAAAGGCACTTACTGGCCTGCAAAGCACTTTCTGCAGATCAAAGGAAGTACAAATACGTATTAACAATCTGAATTACATAGCAAACATTAGTCTGTGCTCTTAATTTAACTATTATTCCAGGTTAAATAGTGCATGTATTTTCTAGTTTGCAGACAAAAAATTCTTACCAAACATGATAAAGCAAATCCAGCCATAACTATGTAGACAGTCCATCCAAACTGTTCAGTGATGTATCCATAAATAAAACCAATTACCTGGGAAAGAAGTATATTAAAAAAATCAAACTCTAAATGAAGAAAAACATTTCTCATGCCATGATTAAATTGTGGGGGGGAAGTAGGAGAATACAGGTTTTTCAAAAGCACAGTTCCTCCACCTTTCTAGCCTTCTTTTCAAAATTGCTGGCCAATAATGAAAGTAAAACATGGGGAGACAAAGTTTTAACACATGACAGCCCCTCTGATTTTGTCTAAAGCTTTTAGTGACCCCAAACAATCAGAACAAAAAAAAAGTTTGTAAAATCAGAAGACAAAATACTCCTTTTATGTTCTCACCCACAGTTCTAGTATACTTACTGCAGAGACAAGAATGATTCCTTGAAAAATCTGTTCTGCTAATTTTTGGCCCTTGTAGTCCTGTGAAAAGAGACACTTTTTGGTCAGTTATTCAAAACACAAACCTGCCTGTTAAACTCCTTCAGGTTAGAGCCCACACTCAGCCTGACCATGGGTTCTCAGCTCTTTTGTTCAATTTTCAGACCAGACTGGAATTACTTTTCTTACAGTGTCTGGGAACACCTGCCCTGCAGGCTCGACCACACCACCTGGAAACAGAAGCAAGTACTGCCTGTTCAAGGTAAGTAATGCCAGTTCAAACTATCACTGTAGTCAGCTTAACATCACTAAGAAAAAGCTGTAACACCACGGCAGAGCGTGTGCCTGGGGGGATACAGCGTGTGTGGCACTTAGAAGGGATCTCATTAGTGCATGTAAATGTTTCCAAGGCGGGTGCCAAGAGGATGGTGCCAGACTCCTTTCAGTGGTGCCCAGAGATAGGATGAGGAGCAACAGCCATAAACTAAAACACAAGTTCCACCTCAACACGAGGAAGAACTTCTTTCCAGTGAGGATGGCAGAGCCCTGGAACCGCCTGCCTAGGGAGGGTGTGGAGTGTCCCTCTCTGGAGACATTCCAAACCCACCTGGACTTGTTCCTGTGTCACCTGCTCCAGGTGCCCCTGCCTGGGCAGGGGGGTTGGACTGGGTGATTTCCAGAGGTCCCTTCCAACCCGAACTATTAATTGTTTGCGTGACTTTAGAAAACCTGTCTCTCAGCGAGCACGCGTTGCCTTCTGTCTATAGCCCAGGCGGGAAACCACGGAGGGATGTCCCCTGCACAGCTCTGCATTACAGCACGTTAAATCTCCGCTTCCCAGCTCATAAACCGGAATTATACGGATTCACCCTGCAGCTCCTACGTGCCTCGGACGCAGGTATCAACCCCGCGGGGGATGCAGGGACACCCAACCCCGCAGGGGACATTCCCCCCCGCGCGGTGCCCCGGTGCCGCGGCCCGGCGGGCCCTACCCACCATCTGCGTGGGGATGGAGCGGAACGCGCTCAGCATGGCGGCGGCGCCTCTGCGGCCTCCTCCCGCTGCTGCCCGCGATGCCCGGCGAGGCGGGGACCAGCGTCTCGGCGCGGCGGCAGCGGAAGGCGGCTGCTGAGCTGGCCGGAAACACGCCCCGGCTGCCCCGCCCCGAGCCCGCCGGCCCCGGTGCCGCCTCCCGCCTCGGCCATCGCTGCCGCGGGGTCGCTCCGCGCGCTCCCCATCCCGGTCCCGTCCCCGCCCTCGCCCGGGCGCGTCTCCTCGGCAACGGCGGCTCGGCCCCGCAGGCCCGCGGCGGAGGCGCCTTCCCCGGCAGGTGCGGCAGGTGCGGCAGCGCGGGGGGCGCGGCTGGCGGCGGCCGGACGGGCACAGCCGCGGCTCTGGGGGTGCCGCGGTGGCGGCGCGGGCGGGCGGCCCGTGAGGGGCGGGGGAGCCGCGGCTGTGCCCGCCCGGGGGCCCGGGGAGCGGGGGCGGGCAGCGTGGGCCCCGCGCGGTGTGTGTTTCACTGAGGGCTGTGCGGGCGCTGACCGTGCCCTGCGGAGGAGTCGCTCTGTCGGTGCCTCCAGCCCCGGCTGCCGCGTGTCAGATTCACAGAATCAACCGGAGTTGCCTCTGAAATCATCGAGTCCGACCTTTGACCTGACACCGCCTCGTCTACTAAACCATGGCACTGAGTGCCGTGTCCAGTCTCTTCTTAAACACCTCCAGGGACGGTGACTGTACGACCTCCCTGGGCAACCTGATCAGCCGATTCCAATGTCTGATCACTTTCTCCGTGAAGAACTTCTTCCTAATGTCCAACCTAAACCTCCCCTGGTGCAGCTTAAGACCGTGCCTTCTTGTCCTATCGCTGGTTACCTGGAGAAGAGCCCGACCCCCACCTGGCTACGCTCTCCTGTCAGGGAGTTGTAGAGAGTGATGAGGTCTCCCCTGAGCCCCCTCCTCTCCAGGCTGAACACCGCCAGTTCCCTCAGCCACCGCTCAAAGGCAGAGGCTGTGTCTGTGCGCTGGGAATCGCAAAGTGCTTCGTTCCCCAGCGAGACGTGGCGTTGTGCTCTGTAAGCAAAGCCCTGTGTCCCGCCCCGTGCCAGCCGTGCTGTGGTGCTGGAGAACAGGGCTCCCGGCTGGGGTTTGTTGTGCTCCACAAATGCATCTGCTCTGGGGGAGAAATGCAGCAGCGAGAGAAGGTGGTTGGGTCTGACACATGGAACGGTCACAGCACAGCCTGTGGTGTTTTAATAGAGAGATTTCACAAGTCTGTCACCGTTTCTGGAGTTTTGTATGTTGTCACGGCGCTTTCTATGTGTTATTTGAGAGCTCTTTCACACTCCAGGATACACAACTCTTGTTCTGATTTCATAGTCACCTTTACCCTTGAATAATGAACAAGTTTGAATTTCTTACCAAAATTGTATCAGTGTTGTGTTTTTACCCCCATCTATAACATGATGGTAGTACCTTCTTGCCTGCTTTTGTGGGTTTTTTTGGTGTGACAACGCTCTAGGTGATATTCTGTTATATTCTATGTAGAGACTTTCATGGTTTGGAAAGTGCTATTTGTTAAAATCTTATAAACCAGTGTCCTGCCAAAATCCTGCAGTTAGTTAAGCATGGAAGGAAACGTATAATAATTTATCTTATTGTTTAGATGCTTCCAGTTCAGATAGTTAAATAAATAGTTTCAACAGTAAAGAAACCCCACGTAATTTTCTAGATCTTTTCAGATCATTCTGACTGGTAGAAGGAGTTTGGCATTTTTTTTCTGTCAGTGAAGGAAGTGTATGTCTCCTTTTTACCTCCAAGTTCTTCTTTAGATAAGTCGTATGTGGGGGGAGTCCCCAACATAAGAAGGATTTGGACCTGTTGGAGCAGGTCCAGAGTAGGGCCATAAAGATGCTCTGAGGGCTGGAGCACCTCTGCTTGAGACAGGCTGGGAGAGTGGGGGTTATTCACCTGGAGAAGAGAAGGCTCTGGGGAGACCTGAGACCCCCTTCCAGTGCCTAAAGGGGCTCCAGGAGAGCTGGAGAGGGACTTTGGGCAGGGGCGTGGAGTGACAGGACAAAGGGGGATGGCTTTAAACTGACGGGGGCAGGATTAGATGGGATATTGGGAAGGAATTCTTGGCTGTGTGGGTGGTGAGGCCCTGGCACGGGTTGCCCAGAGAAGCTGTGGCTGCCCCATCCCTGGAAGTGTTGGAGGAATGTGGTCTAGTGGAAGGTGTCCCTGCCCATGGCAGGGGGTTGGAATGAGATGAGCTTTAATGTCCCTTTCAATGCAAGCCATTCTAGGATTGTAGCTATGTATGTACTGAGGTACCACACTCAGTTATTAAAATGTGGCATAGCTTTATCTTTTTTTAGAGAAGGACACATTCACTGCATTCAGGAACTGTTTTGACACTCCTGGTGATGGTGCCTATGTCTCATGTAGGCATACACTGGAAGTAGGAAGTGACTGCTGTATTTTTTTCTTGCAGGTTTTCAGGAACCTTATGCTCATAAATAAATCAGTAGAAAAATGACATTAAGGAAAGGTATGTGTATATGTGTGTCTAATTTTTTTTGAAGTATCTTTTGTATCTGAGTTTCTTTTTCTCTGCTTATGCTGATGAACTTTTTTCTTTGAAATTTTCAGTGAACATTTCCATCCTCATTGTGGCTGTTATAATATTTTTGCTAGTTCTTCATCATAACTTCCTAAGCCTCAGTGACTTCTTGAAACGGGAGTTATCAGGTATGTTGGGTTTTATTTTAATTTTGAAAAAATATTATTCTTTTTAAGATTAGAGGGAAAGCACGTGCTCTGACCAGAGAGTGGTTTGGGTAAATGGGAGGGGGAAGTCAGTGAGGTTCTAGACATGGAAAAGGGACCCACTGTAGCTCAGCCTTATATTACTTCCTTGTGCTGTGTGTGAATATGTGTGACTAAATGTGTGTAGTTTTTTGTAATTGTGGTGTTCTTCTATTCATTAACATCTCAGATCTCAAAAGCAGGTGCTCTGTTTTCAGTGTTTGATGCTGGCAGGCCTTGATCCTGCTGAGACATCCAAGTGCTTGCATAGCAGAAATAACTGAAGGTTTTGGGAATTCTAATGCAGTTATAATAATGTGTAATAATAAAAACAAGTATGTGATGCCATTTGTACTCCACAGATTCAAGTCCCTTAGGACTTCAGCCTATAGATTTCATTCCTGCAGCTCCCCAGAGGCTGATAGATGAGAGGAATGATAAGGAGATTTCTGTGGTCATTGCAGCATCAGATGAGAGGCTTGGGGGTGCAATTGCAGCCATGAACAGCATTTACCATCACACCAGATCCAACGTGGTTTTCCATGTTGTTACTTTGAACGATACAGTGGATCACTTGAGGTAATGATCTTTTCATTGGATTCCCACAACACTGTAAACTTCAGTATCTCTGAGAAGAGAGCTGCCTTTCCCCGGAGCTGCTCTCCTCTGACTTGCAGTCCTGCCTGCTGCTGCTTATTGCAGCTTTTTGGCAAGGCTGCTGTGGGGAGTCCTACAGCTATTCCTTCTGGAAAAGTTTCAGGGATGGAAAAGAGCCATCTTTTCCAAGGGGATTATATCCAACCAGTGGGGTTGGTGTTCGTTGGTGGAAGGGTTGTTGATGTTACTTATACATTTCGTCAAGCAATTCAAATACCGTCAGTCAAGTTTCTCCATTTTCATAGACTGTTCTTTGATCCTTTTATTTTTACCCACCTCTGTGCACACTGATGTTTTTTGTGAAGGACCTGTGATAACAGGACTGTGTATTTCTAATGAAACAAGTGGCAAGCTCATACCTTTCACGTGTCCCAGGTGAGCAGTGTGCTGGCAGTGGGCATGTCCCTGCAGCCACACAGGACACCACTGGCCTCAGCCATAGATGACACCCCAGATATGTGTTTGTGGGTAGGGAAGTTAGTGGGCACATCAAGATCTGGGTCGCTGTCAGTCAGATCTCTTGCTTTTCATTTGATTTTTGTCTCATTAACAAGATCTGTGCCTTTCCCCTGTTTGCAGGCTGTGGCTAAGTGGCACTGCTCTGAAAAACATGAGATACCGAATTTTGGATTTTGACCCTCGTGTCTTAGAAGGGAAAGTACAAGTGGATCCCCAAAAAGCAGACACCTTCAAACCAGTGAGGATGCTGTTGATTACTTTTTGCAGTTATTAGTTAATAGCAATATATTTCGATGTTGGCTTTTAACACAACTAGAGATCAAAACCACATCTGTTAGCATAGGAGTCTTTTATAATAAAATTCCTAAATCTCCATAAAAATAAATTTCCAGCTAGTGAAAGATGCATTTGAATGTCTACATATCCATGCTTAGTATCATTTTTTGCTGCTAGCTACAGTGAAACACAGCATGTCAAGCATGCCAACACCTTGGAGATACTACAGATACATGTGGAGAAATAAGAAATTCTAATACAGACAAATTTTAAAGTTAATCAATACATAAATTCATAGGAAACCAGGAATTGATGGAACTCGTTTATTTTAAATGACTTGTAGGATATTGCTGCCTGTTTTATTTCCTTTATAGAAGTTGTCTTGGAAATTAGTGCCATAGATAAGTGCAGGAGAATTTCCATTTCACATTTATTTGGACAGTTTTTCATTTAATTCTTCACTTCTCTTGCTTTCTTGTTCTCAAAGTTAACCTTTGCAAGATTCTACTTGCCCAACTTGGTACCTCATGCAGAGAAGGTCATCTACGTGGATGATGATGTAATAGTGCAAGGTATGGCACCTTTGTTAGCTGCCACTGGCCTTATGCTGAGGGCAATATCCCATCTCTCAGAGCCCAAACACTTTGAGAAAAGATGTCAAAACTTTGTAAATATGAATGAGTTCGGTTAAACTGAATGGTTTCATCTGCTGTAGCAATGGCCTGAACAAAATGTAACTTGGCACTTAGTCAGGATTGCTTTTGATTTTTCTGTGCTTACTTCCATTTTCCAGATGATATTCTTGAACTTTACAACACTCCATTGAAACCTGGACATGCAGCTGCATTTTCAGATGATTGTGACTCAACCACTAGCAAAGTTGCTGTCCGTGGAGCAGGCAAT